ATTTTAGTCATAGGAATGTAATTGAATGATGAGTGGGGCCAAATTGAAGGGAGGAGGAGGGGAGGGAAAGGGTGGGGCAGGAAGTGGGAGTTGAGTAAGACAAGAGAGTGGGGGAGGAGGGACCAGCAGGAGGCAAAGAGCAGGGGAAAGCAGAAACGGAGAGCTGTGTAGATAGATGAGTGAGGAGGTGAGGTTAGGTATGGCTGTATCATACGGAAGAGAGGGAGGCAACGTGTTGGCATTACATTCAATATCATCCGACAAAGCAACTCAATAATAATTCATAATGAATCCATTCAGAATGAAGAACAGTGGTACAGTAGTGAGCAGTGGTGTGAGTGAAGCCAAAGATAGATAGATATATATATATATATGTTTATGGAAGAATGAAGGAGGGATTGATGGACTGTATGACTGTCCACCATGTCCCATGGCTGTCCCCCCACGCATCATTATCCGTCCACATCATCATCCCAACATTCAACAAACCACCACCATATCCCCTTCCTTCGTTCATATATATCTGTTTCATCATGCTCTCTTTTCTCATGGGTCCCTCCAAATCCCCCCACTATCCTCCCTTCTTACTCCACCATATCTCTGTTTTCTTCTTATATCTTCCTTAAACTGCTCATCCCTTCATTAGTAGTTTTCCCGATCATAATGGGAACAGGAGTCCACGAGGTTAGAATGCTTGGGAGGCTCATAGTATGGCCGAGTATGCTTTCATCCATGGATTGGCGGATGCGTGGGGCCCCCGGACACGGGTCTGTCCCTTCTGGGCCCCACTAATAGTTGCATCCACGCGAGACAAAGGTCCCACCAGCACAGCAACCGGAAGGACCGCTGAGAACTTGAGCACGATATTCACCTCTTGTCAATTTGGAAATACAAGAAAACTGATAAAATAATACTGCTTCGTGTCTTAATTATAAGAGGTAGTCAACTAATTTAAGAAGATTAAAAAATAAGTTAAATTAGTTATTTGTAATAAATATTTGTTATCTTTTCAAAAATATCATTACTAATCAAGTGTGTTAGCTAGAACTATCATTATTAGAAGAACTATCTTAAAAATATATATAAATATTATAAACAAAATGGATTGAAGTCTTATATTTAAGACCAACATAAAATTTACCAGGGTCTTATATTAAAAACCGAATATAGTAATAAGTATTGCACTATTTCGAGCATCACAATAGGATCATACATTAAAAAAGAAACGTAGATTTTCCAAGCGTGTTATATCATTGACAGAAATGAAAATGAAAATCAGTATATGAATCGAAGAACAAAAATATGTTAAAGCGTTGAGGGGGAACAGAAATGGGGGGAAGGACTGGAATTTTCGAAACGCTTTGTCTGCGTGCAAGCCGAACTCACCCATCATCATCGTCCAGTACGGCATGAAACCCCCCATCATTGCCACTCTCTCTCTCTCTCGGGTTTGCTTTATATATCTGGGACCTCTCCTATTTCCTCATGATCCCCTCATCCTCATCCTTCCCTCCATCTCTCTGATCTCTCTCTCTCTCTCTATCTGTCTGTCTGTACGTTTCTGTTCCTCTGCTGCCTCCCCTTTCTCTCTAATATACCCATACTCAAATACGCCCACACCCTCATACTCAAATCAAGCTAAGACTCTTCATTCTTTCAGGTTGAGTTCACTGTATGGATGGATCCTTCCCGTGCACAACACCAGGTAGGCTGGCTGCTTCCTCTCTCTCCCGCTCACATGCCTCTCTCTTTGCTTCTTTATGCCTTTTCCTTACCTCTCCTCTTCCCCTTCAATTCTTTTACGTTTGGGCTTGAGTATGGTTTGGGGTCTCAGGCCTTCCTCCGTCAATTCTTCATGATCAACTTAGCTATATGTACGTTGCAAAGCAATAAACGAAAATGAACTTCAGTAAATAAGAGCATATATATCTTTGATTTCTCGCGCCTTATGAAAAATCCTTTGGCGCAAGTATAGGAAAGTTTCGTCTCTCTTTTGTAGAATGAAGAATGGCTTTTCCATCCCAACGGATACGTGGAACCGTGGTTTAAGACTGATCTCTTAAACCCAGCTAGGAAGCTAGGGCAAACTTTCCCTCTTCGATTATCTTCCACAATATATAAAATTCTCTAATTCGTGCTTCTAGGTAGTAATTGTATATCCCTGCATGCTTTATTTTTTTATACCCATGAAAGAATTTAAAGAGTAATCTCATGAACCCCACCCCGCTCGATTTCAAAATTCACCTGCGGAATTGCACCGTGGCTCTTGGTTTTCATGCTTACTAATAATTTCCAATTGTGCTTTTGTTTTCACAGCAAATGTCTAACGAATCACTGGAGAATATGATAGCTTGCTCAAAAGCACAGCAAGAGAGGAAGCCGAGACCTCAGCCGGAAGAAGCACTAAAGTGCCCAAGATGTGACTCCACCAACACCAAATTCTGTTACTACAACAATTACAGTCTTTCTCAGCCGAGATACTTCTGCAAGTCATGCAGGAGATATTGGACCAAAGGAGGAACATTAAGGAATGTTCCAGTGGGTGGAGGCTGCAGGAAGAACAAGAGATCTTCATCATCAAAGAGGGCTCAAGATCAACCTCTCACCCCCCACAACAACCCACTCGCTTCCATCCCTTCCTTATCTTATGATTCTAATGACCTCACCCTCGCATTAGTTAGGCTCCAAAAACAATCTTCTGGGCAATTGGGCTATGATGACCATGATCTATCAATTTTGGGGAACCCCACTAGCTCCCATTATGATATCCTCGGCAACACCACAAATCCTGGCTTTTTAGATGCATTTCGAACTGGATTCGTGGAAACCCAGCAGAATAATAATTTGCAGAACCTGTATTGCGGATATGGAAACGGGGACATGGGAGAAGTGGACAATGGAAACGCAGAGATGATGCTCCCGTATGATCAAGAAATCAATAATGCACCCACAACGCAAGCAGTGTCGGTCACTACTATGAAGCAAGAAATAATGTGTAATGGAAGAGAACAAAGTGAAAACAAGGTGTTGTGGGGTCTTCCATGGCAGTTCAATGGGGACATGAACATGGGAGGGCTCGATTCAGGAAGAGCAAGTTGGAACAATGGTCTCGGTTCATCCTGGCACGGTCTTCTCAATAGTCCGCTAATGTAGACAGACACTCAATGCTTCTCCATTGATCATAAGATCGAAGAAGAGAAGAAACAAACAGAAGGACTGATGATTTCCTCTCGTGACTGAAATATCAGCTTTTAAATTTTCATTTCTCTAGAGTTTTGGGTTAAGATCAAGGGATTTGATTCGCTTGAATCACCTCCCTTCCTGTTTCTGGCTTGCTTTTTTTTCCCCCCTAGCAGATGTCAAATTTTTTGTTCTACGATGTTATTGTTGAATAGACTAATGAGATCGCAGATTTGTTTGCTATGTTAGCCAAACTTAGAGAGTAGTGAAAGTATAATTTGCTTATGGTAACAGGAGGAAGTGAGAAAGAGACCCGGGGGGGGGGGGAGAGAGAAGAGGCAGCATGAGAACGATAATTCGTAGTTTTGTGCGGTCTGAGTCTGAAATCTCTGACCAGTCTTGGTCTGTGAAATGTCGGTAGCTTCAAGATATGACAGCGTCGTATTTTCACCAGGTACCTAGATTCCTAGAATTAAAATATAGTATGCGCTATTATTTCTATATTGGAGCCGAAGAGAACATCTCGTATCCCTACGAATTAAAAATTTCAGTGAAGCATGACCAGCAACCTCGGAATGGCTTTTGTCTCTCATGGCACTCAGCAGCCATATCCAGTTGGGGATTTGGCAAGAGAAAAACAGTCAGCGACAGCATGAATATCGATATGCCCCCAACAATCAATGACTGTGGACAAGATTCGGTGGATCGCGGTTTAAATGTCTCGCAGGGGTTCGCATTTCAGTTTAAGAATATTCTTTTTTTTTAATATAAGACTTAATTATTGATTTAATTTTAGTTATAAATATAAGACATATTTATCAATTTTTTAAAAATTATTCCTATGAATATTTTCTCAACCATAATCAAATAAAAAAAATTTTAAAATTATTCCTATGATATTAAGGAAGATGATTAGGGTGTTTTAAAAAAAATATATCATATTTCTTATAATTAACTAACTTATCTAACTTCTTTAATGTAATCAAATTAGTTAAATAGATCTTATATCAAATACCGGAGGAGTAATAAATAAATCAACAGCAACTGGGAATAAATGGAATGCATGCATTAGCACGGAGTCTTTGATCGTTGTTCTGCGCGTCAGTGCGCTACCTCATAAAAATGTGTGGTTCTACATAGCTAGCAATTTTTTCCGCAAAGTTTTATACCATTATCAATTTAAAACATTATTTTTTGTAAATATTTTTACCGTCAAATCTTATAGGCCCACGAAATCTTGTAAATATGTACACTGCAGCCTACTTCGACCACGAAATAGAGCACATTGTTGACTTTTGCCACGTAATTAACTGACATGTAAACTGAGACGACTAAAAAGTAAAATAAATATAATTTCGTGCACAAGTATATATATTTTTCAAACCCATCGATTAATTTTTTTCGGCAAATAACCCATATGAAAATAATCAGGTAGCATTAGTGCCCGCTCGTCTCGTTATTTCTTTTCCTTTCATGTTGCCTAGTATTTTGTTGCTAGAGAGGATATCTAAATCCCATTAGTTATACATAATAAATTGTAGTTATACTTAATTAGGAAAAAAACTAATTAAGTTGTTATAACAAAAGTAAAAGGAGCTTCAAATATTCACAGAAATCTAGTGCTTACTAGACAGATGATGACATTGCTCATCAATTAATGTGAACGACTGAAAGAGGTGACCTCTCTCTCTTTTTTTTTGCGGTTTAAAAGTGACAAAAAAAATTCGTTCCTTCAAAATTCATATTTATATGCACAACTAATGAACACATGCGCGTCTTAATGATATGTGTGTTTAGATTGGAAAATCAGGTTCCGACGATACTCAAGTGAAGCTCAGTCTGGCCGGGCTTCACAGTTCAATATAATTCGGGTTGTTGGATTAAAAAAACTCAACAGCCGCTGCTTAAAGCCTCTTGGGAACAAACGATGAAGGGCGTGCGTTTTGCATTTGATGGCAACTTTGAAATTAAGTTGAATTATTGGAACCAGCGGAAAAGGAAGCACGGTAAGAAAATTGAGTTTTTTTTTCCCCGGTACAAAGAAAGTTGGGTCAGATATGTGGCAATTGGACTCCGGCTTCAGTCATGATTTTAATTATTAGGGCTTAACCAGGTTGCTGCTTCCCCACGTATGGACAGGGTGCCTGCCTACTTAATTGTTTTGGGCTTCAGCCTGTTTGCTTGACCCAATAAAAAAAAATCAGTCCGCCTCAGTCTCCTCCCCTAGGGTCGGTTTGGTACGAGATAAGGAGAGGAAGGAAAAATACTAATGAATTTAATCTAAAAAATTAGAAAAATGGGATTAAAATTTTTAAGTTAATTTTGCTTACTATTTTATCTTATATATTCTTTTTATCAATATTTTATAACCCCACTCTTCTAATTTTTTAAACCAAGTTCGTTAAAATTTTATTTTCTCTCCCTTCCTCTCTAATTCTCTATAGGGTTAAGAATTGTTTTCTTAATTTTAAGAATTACGCCTAAGCTTTTAATCATTTTGACATGTATTATGAAACAGTATGATTTAATTTCAGTAGAATTATTTTTTTTTTGTACAATTTTTTTTGCCAGCTAATTTTTGTGTGCAATAGGTTGATAGAGACTTAATTTTACTTAAATTTAAACAAAATAAATGAAAATATATTTTAAACACAAAGTCATGGGGTCATAATCTAAGCGGTTTCTGGGACGAGCTGACATGTGGGTCCGGTCCGCTCACTATTCTGGCCCATAACAAGATAAGTATTACATGTATTGATAAATGAGGCCCAAACTCACCGAACCAAAAAAAGAAGATTGGGGCGGAAAAAGGTACGGGCTTATCTTACGTGGCATATCCCCTGTGAGTAAGGCCGACATCCGCATATGTAAATTACCATTTCCCGATAAACGGAGATTAGTTTACTTTACCTTTTATCCTATGTTTTAGAGAAAAGGTGAGTATATTCTCTCATCTCTACTCTGAAAAGTTAAAAAAAAAAAAAAAAAAGAAGTCTCACTGAAATCAGCCCGGCGACAAACCGAAAGTAGGACCGTTTCAAGTAAGGAAAAGGTCATTTGAGTCATTTCTTACGTTTGGAACTGATCGATGGACCGCAAGTGGCATATGTAGGCTCTAGGCTCCCACAAAACCCAAACAAGAAATAAAAGTTTACAGCCTCTGCATCCGCTTAAGAGAGTCTAGAAAAAGATTCAAAAGGAAAAAGGGGAAGGATTAATAAGAAGGGTTGGCTGGGAAGATGGGAACAAGCAACCAGTTGATTGGTTTACTCAACTTCTTAACGTTCCTGCTGTCCATTCCTATACTGGGAGGAGGCATATGGCTGAGCAGCAGAGCAAACAACACAGACTGCCTCACCTTCCTCCAGTGGCCTCTCATCGTCATCGGAATCAGCATCATGGTCGTCTCTCTTGCGGGTTTCGCCGGCGCCTGTTACCGCAACACCTTCCTAATGCGCCTCTACCTGGTCGTCATGTTCATCGTCATTGCAGCTCTGATCGGCTTCATCATCTTCGCCTATGCCGTGACGGAGAAGGGTTCCGGTCGGGCGGTGATGAACCGGGCCTATGTAGACTACTATCTGGAGGATCATTCGGGTTGGTTGGAGGAGCGGGTGGCCAGTGATACCTACTGGGGAAAGATTAGCTCTTGCATCAGGGACTCCAAGGTTTGCAGAAAGATGGTGAGAACTGTTGGTGGAATGCCTGAAACTGCTGATATGTTCTTCCACAGAAGGCTCACTCCTATCCAGGTCCCTGCTCTTATTCATCTTTCATCCTCGCCATATCTTGTTTACATATTATTTCATCAAGGATTGGTGCGTCATCGTACGTATCAAAATAACATATTACGAAATTAATATAGAACCCATTTAACTAATTTGATTAGATTAAAGAAGTTATGTAAATTAGTTAATTATAAAAAAATATGATATGTTTTTTCTAAAACATTGTAATTATCTTTCTTAATAGGTTGAATGAGTATTCATAAGGATAGTTTAGAGAAAATTGATAAATATAAAAAGTATATCTTATATTTAGAATCAAAACCAACTCAACAATTGGATTCTATATTAATAAGCTGAGGAGTATAATCTGAATTTTGAAGAATCAGCTTTTCATGTGTGGCTTACCCGCCACCCGCCAAAGCCCATCCAGTATCGATGTAGTCTCTTGGAGATGTTTTCTTTTTACTGTTATTACGCGTCTGGCGATAAATTTAGGTGAAAGGTTGGGTCGCGTCGGAGGTTTATAGTAAGGGACCCAGCGTCATGTGGAGGTGATGGGTATTGCATGCACAGTCTCCGAGAAATGTGGTGAGTGGGCCATTCGCCTGCGTTTCAAGCTTGACCAGTGCCATCAACCAAGGGAGGCCTCATTTATTGGAAATGTTTTCCCCCTCTAATTACTATATCTTTATAAAATTAATTAGTCCCAGCATGATCCATGGTTTCTCCTAATTGGGTTTGGTGGCGGTGTAGGACTTTTTAAATCATATCATGCGTTTTTGTCCCCCACCCTTTTGTTGAATATTATAATTTAGGGTCATAAATTGAGGATGGTATAGTATTTCAATATTGATTGTGTCAGATTTTTAAGTATCTGAGCGATGGCGCTGTTGCAATATCAAAAGGATAACAATCCTTTAATTCTCTGTTGGAGCACGCCCACAAACTTAATTTGCTTAAACTTCATCATCATTGATTGAACTCGAGTTTTTTTTGGGGGGTCCATTTAGGTGGTCTTCTTTCGGCAGTGGCAAACAGATGTGATATAATTAAGCTATCTGTTGTCGCTTTCTGCTTTCAACAATAATATGTCCCGCGCGTCAATTAATCAAGCCAAGAACGCTTTTTAGGTATGGCCTCTGCCTCGGGGGCTCGTATTATGGTATGGTTAAGGCGGTGGTGGGTACTAGAATAAATGTATCTTCGACTAGACTGGAAAGATAGACTAGCGGATGTCACTGGTTTCCTTTCTTTTTTTCTCCTTTTCTACACACTTCATAACAGCACAGGTCATGCAAATAATGACGCTATAGTGAGACGTTACAGCATACAATTATGCTTGTGTTGTCAATTTTTGAATATAGTCAAATGGGAATTATGAAAATCATTCAAAGGCGAGTTAGTGTTGTGTCTGCCCCAGCCTCGTGCCCTTAATTTCAGAGGCCAGTGAGTGTGATGTGGAAGACATAGATTGACTTGACGTCTTTCTTATCCTATATCCATGCGCGTTTGGCTTCCATTTGTAGACACACACGGTCACACACAATTTGGTCACAGATGCCATATATATATATATATGTATGTATATATCTGAATATGATGTGAACTGAAACGCCGTGATTAAATCACAAACATCTTCTGACTAGTTAATATATTGTGATGTAGTCTGGTTGCTGCAAGCCTCCTACAGAGTGTGGGTACGTGTACGAGAGGGAGACGGTGTGGAACCCGGGGGTGGGGGTTGGGGCGGGAGCCAACGCAGACTGCGGCAGGTGGAGCAACGATCAGAGTCAGTTGTGTTATGAGTGCGACTCGTGCAAGGCTGGGGTTGTGGCCAGCCTTAAGAAGAGCTGGAGGAAGGTTTCTGTTATCAACATCGTCGTCATGATCATCCTCGTCATCGCTTACATCATCGCTTATGCTGCTTTCAGAAACGACCGCAAGATCGACAACGATGAACCCGCCGGCGAAGCTCGCATGACCAAAGTTGAACCTGCCAGGTTTCATTTTTAGTTACTTTAATTTGCTCTCATCGTCTGCATGTGTATATTATGCCTTTTCCTGATCCATTCAGATTTCCTGCAAGACATATGTTTAATGCCTTCCTCTTTTAATTGTACTTATTGCTGAGATCCACCGGTTTGATATAGTGCAGAAACCATTGCAGAGACAACTATTAATGTGCCTCATTGGGGGGGGGGGGACAGGAATGCGTTGTTGATAATTTGCTAATATTTGTTATAAATTTTTGTGGTCAGACGTTATAAATGAACTATTTATTGATATTTGAATTAGTTTTTATAAATAATTGAACGTTGATCCCACCAGAGACATGTTCTACCCATGAAAGTTATCTTGTGCTTTTAAGACAAAAACATGAATATTAATCACAATTTAGAACTTGTTCGGAATAGCAATTGAAGTTTTTAAAAGCAGTTTTAATTTGGATTTACAGAATGAGATGGAGAGAGAGATGTGAAGTAAGTTTTATCTCTATTTATGCGAAAGTATTTGTAAGCACTTAATAAATGTGATACCAAACAAGCGCTTATTTTTGGAGTTCTGGTGCCCAAGGAACAAAAAACTAGACCGGATATTAAACCGGTTGAGATAGTGGTTTAAGGGTCAATGGGTCAGATCAGGGTCAATCCAGGATCAAACCGATCATATTAAAATAATATAATTTGATTGAAAATAACAAAATATAACAATACTAATAATCACTAATAACAAAATATAAGGAAATACAATAATAATTTGATTGTAATAATAATAAAGTATAACAATATTGAGAATTTTAATCTTTATAATTCCTCAATAACTAAAATTAATAGCTGTTGGTACCAAAATTATCATTAAAATTCATTTAAATATATAATAAATGAGATATTATAAGCTAAATGAAAAAAAAAAGACAAATAGTAATATAATTATTCAAACCGGTTCACACCGGTTTGACCGGTTCCTGGTTTAATCCATGAACCAGACCGGACCAATGACTGGTTCATCAGTTTTCCGGTTGAACCGGCCGGTCCGGTCCGGTTTTTTGTGCTCTACTGGTGCCAACGTGAAAAATATATAATATACATATGTATATTTTTCTTTTCTTTTCTTTTTTTTTTTGCTAAAGTATAAGTATCCTTTTATTGGAGGCAATTCTATTCAAGGCACTATCGGAGATTAAATGCGGACACCTCTTCTAGTGGAGATTCGAATCTTAGTTTGTTAAGTTGTGAGCGACTAGTCCTTTCCGTTAGACTAAATCCCCATTGGTATATATTTTTCTTTTTGTACAAGCGAACATGAAATTAAGCCCTTTTCCAATGACACCCAAAGACCCAAACGTACATGAAGGCCCACTCTTTGGTGGATTTAGAAGCCCATTTCTCTTATCTTACATTCTTACTGTCTTGTCTCCAATAAGAGGATACCTATATTTTAGCTCAAAAAGAAAATTGAAAGCAGTATGAGCCTATGAGGGCCCACAAATATTTGTACCTGAATATGTTTGGGTTAACTTTCGAACACGGTATCCTTTGGCCAAGCTTCTATAAGAAAAGAAACAAACCTTTTAGGAGGTGTTTAGATAGAATTAAAACTATGATTTTAAAAGTATTTTTTACAGTATGCAAAGTAAATATATTAAAAAATTTATTTTGATTTACGAAAAAGTACTTTTTAGAAATACTTCTGATACTTCCCAGACACCCCTTAGTAACAGCAAAATTAATTTTTGTAAAAACACTTTTAAAGATGTGCAAAATGCAACAATACTGACAAAGATTAGCCAACAAAGGCATCGAGAGAGCAGGAGTTTCATGTGCTTGTAATCTTAGGATATTTATATAGTGGGCTCAAACAGGACCAGCCATAGTTATGAAGGCATGTTCATAGGAGTTGAACTTGCCAAATGCCATATTTCATTGCAAGAGATGGTAATCGGCAAAGGCATTATTCTCTCATCACGTGCCGTCGTCTTCTGCCACAGAGAAATGAGAATCCCGTCCCCTCGTCCTTTTGTTGCCGCCCATTTTTATCTTCTCACTCTCCATTGCTATGCCATCTCAAGGCTTATTCCATCTACTGTATGTAGAGATGCTGCTTTTTGCTTTTCTTTCCTTTATTTTCCTTTCCTTCTTTAAAAACTAGACACGGGAAAACAAAGCACTGGTTCTGGGGTCAATTTTGTTTGCTCAACGATTTAGTTTTTGATCATTATTTTTTTTGCTCAACAAAATATTTCATGATTTAAGGTGAAAATTTGTATCAAAAATTTAAAATTATAAAAATATTGCCTGTTATTATTAAAAATATTAACAATCCGCATCACTATTTTAACAATCGGTATCACTATTTCTCGTCCCATCCCTGTCCGATGAACAATGATACTGCTCATAATTAAGCAAGTCCTTACATTTCAAATGCGTTGTGCGGTCTGAAAGTGAAGTGATTCCTCTTTTACGCAATTTGTTGCAAAAGTTGAAATGATGCATGCTCAAGGGATGCAAAATGAGAAGCAGCACACTGAGGGGTAGATGCTCGAAGCCCGCGCACCCAGTGAGTGGTCATGGACAATCCACCCTGTTATTTTCATTTTTATTATTTCTCCCACTCAAGCTATGTTTTCTTAATTTTAACTTTTTTTTTTGAATTTGAAATTGTGATTCTTTAATTTTAACTTTTTCAAGTGAAAATGAGTTAATCCTACCCTACTTTTTAAATTATAGAACTTCTTACATCAAACGCTTTCTCCACCTATTGAGGTTTTATCACGCTAAATTATTGCTACATTCAGATCTTAGGGGCTGTTTGAACCGTAAATCGAGATAAATTCTTTCACATATTTACTTCATATACTGTAAGAGTACTTTTAAAACTATGGTTTTGATTCTATCCAAACACCTTAATATAAAAACTGATTTGATTTTTAATTTGATTCTAAATATAAAACTCCAATTCATTTTGTTTTTTTATATTATTTATTTTTTTCAAAATAATCTTTGTAGTTATTGTATATGTTAAAAGTTTCATTAATTATTAAAACTAATACACTTGATTAACAAAAGTATTTTAATGGAGACAACACTTATTTATTACAAATAACTAATTTAACAAGCTTTTTTGATATACTCAAATTAGTTAACTAACTCTTGTATTAAGAATTCAAGATAGTATATGCATATTGTCAAATACTCTTTTAACAATCATTTATTATATACTTCCTCTCTGCTCATAAATATAAAATCCATTTTGTAATGTAAATTACAATACAAAATAGGTTTTATATTTATAATCAAAAGAATTTTTTTTAAATTATGTTAAAGTAATAATATAATTTCATGTATGTTGAAAATTTGCGAGATTATTTTTATCCCCCGAACCCCCCCTCCCAGATTTGTAAAATAAAATCAATCCAATTCAAATAATACGTGATTTGTGAAAATACAAAAATTAAATACCCCCCCGCGAGGCGGAGAGCTGCGACAGACAGCGCCGCCTTTTATATACTGCTCAAGCCTCTGGCAGCACAGCGGCCCCGCCGGAAATAACGCTCGTCTTTCCCCCTTCACTTTCATCTTCTCCGAAGAATCAGTCTCTTACACTTCCAAGGATTGACTCGGGATGGGTCTGGGTTCTTGCATCTGCCATTGCGAAATGCTCTCACAGCCTCTTCGTGTCTCTTCTCCTAATCTGCGGGTGTCGAAAGCCAACACTACAAACCCTACCAAGTTTGGGGTGCCAAAAGATTTATCTTCCATATGCTTTCGGCCGTGGCAGTTTGCAGGGATTCAATGTTCTCATAAACAGAGGGACGTATCTGCGGGCGCCATTGCCACTCCCCCAGTTGAAGATGTCAGTCTAACATCTCCAAAAGCGGGGAAGAGAACGGACTTGAGGAAAATTTTGATACTTGGAGCTGGACCTATTGTGATTGGCCAAGCTTGCGAGTTCGATTACTCGGGGACTCAAGCTTGTAAAGCGCTCAGAGAAGAAGGTTATGAAGTCATACTGATAAATTCGAATCCGGCGACGATAATGACTGATCCTGAAATGGCCGATAGGACGTACATCACACCGATGACGCCTGAGTTGGTTGAGCAGGTTCTTGACAAGGAGCGTCCGGATGCCATATTGCCGACCATGGGTGGGCAGACTGGGCTTAACCTTGCGGTGTCTCTGGCTGAGAGTGGTGCTTTAGACAAGTACGGAGTTGAGTTGATCGGCGCCAAGCTCGACGCAATTAAGAAGGCCGAAGATAGAGAATTGTTTAAACAGGCGATGAAGAACATTGGGATTAAGACGCCCCCTTCTGGCATTGGCAAAACGCTCAAGGAGTGTATTGAAATTGCTAACGAGATTGGCGAATTCCCTTTAATCATAAGGCCAGCCTTCACTTTAGGTGGAACAGGAGGAGGGATTGCATATAATAGGGAAGAATTTGAGGAAATTTGTAAGGCCGGGCTTGCAGCTAGCATAAACAATCAAGTTTTGATAGAGAAGTCTCTGTTAGGTTGGAAGGAGTATGAACTTGAAGTTATGAGAGATTTGGCGGACAATGTGGTCATCATATGTTCTATTGAGAATATTGATCCAATGGGAGTTCATACTGGAGATTCTATCACTGTTGCACCTGCGCAAACTTTGACTGACAAGGAGTATCAGCGACTTCGGGATTACTCAATTGCCATAATGAGAGAAATAGGGGTAGAATGTGGGGGTTCTAACGTGCAGTTTGCTGTCAATCCAAGAGATGGCGAGGTGATGGTAATTGAGATGAACCCAAGAGTTTCTAGGTCATCAGCTCTGGCATCTAAGGCAACTGGATTTCCAATAGCAAAGATGGCTGCAAAATTATCCGTAGGTTACTCACTGGATCAAATCCCAAATGATATCACTAAAAAGACACCAGCTAGTTTCGAGCCTTCAATAGATTATGTTGTCACAAAAGTAAGTAACTCACTGTAATGCTATCAACGAGCCTTTTACATAGGAAAGCGTCCCTTTTTTCAACTCTATTTACTTTTTACTTCACTATTCATGTTGCAGATTCCTCGGTTCGCTTTTGAAAAGTTCCCTGGTTCTCAGCCAATATTGACGACACAGATGAAATCAGTTGGCGAGGCAATGGCTGTTGGACGAACATTCCAAGAGTCATTTCAAAAAGCAGTACGCTCTCTAGAATATGGCTTCTCTGGGTGGGGATGTGGACAAGTGAAGGAGTTGGATTATGATTGGGACCAATTGAAGTATAACCTGAGAGTTCCTAACCCAGATCGCATCCATGCCGTATATGCTGCTATGAAGAAAGGGATGAAAATTAATGAGGTTCATGAGCTCAGTTACATTGACAAATGGTTTCTTACGCAGCTCAAGGAGCTACTTGACGTGGAAAATTTCTTGTCATCTCATAATTTGATGGATTTGACAAAGGATGACTTGTACGAAGTGAAGAGGAGAGGATTTAGTGATAAACAAATTGCATTTGCCACTAAATCAACAGAGAAAGAAGTTCGCTTTAGGCGATTGTCTCTGGGTGTCACTCCAGCATATAAGCGAGTAGATACTTGTGCAGCTGAATTTGAAGCCAACACGCCTTATATGTACTCTTCTTATGATTTTGAATGTGAATCAGCTCCCACTCAAAAGAGGAAGGTTTTAATCCTGGGCGGAGGGCCAAATCGAATTGGTCAAGGGATTGAGTTTGACTACTGTTGTTGTCATGCATCTTTTGCTCTTCAGGTTCGTTTCCTTATTAGTATGTGATTGAGATTCCAATTGTTGGAGAGTTCAAGCTCTGCCATCTGTGTGTTTGTTGGTGATAACTGGTTAAGAAATGGTAAAAGATAAAATTTTTCAGTATCTTTTTATTCTTTCTAGTTTCTCCTTTCTATGTTTTTTAGAAGTTGTAACTTTGGGGTAGAGATGGTGCCTACGTTGCTGCATGATGCCATCACTTATCTAAAAATCAGCCTTAGCGTTAAGTGATTTAATACGATCAATTTGGCTTTGTTCTAATTTGCATTTCTCCCAGAAAGGAACGTTCTTTCTTGATTATATATACAGTCTGATTATACCCTATCAACCTGTTGACTTGTCCATTGTTTTTGCAGGAAGCAGGGTACGAGACAATCATGGTGAATTCAAATCCTGAGACGGTGTCCACAGATTATGACACTAGTGACCGCCTATACTTTGAACCATTGACCGTTGAAGATGTCTTAAACATCATTGACCTGGAAAAGCCTGATGGTATCATTGTGCAATTTGGTGGTCAAACGCCCTTAAAGTTGGCTCTCCCTATACAGCAGTACCTGGACGAACACAAGCCAGCTACTGCCAGTGGGAAATCTAGTGTAAGCATTTGGGGAACATCTCCTGATTCCATAGACGCTGCTGAGGACAGAGAGAGGTTCAATGTGATGCTTAGGGAATTAAAAATTGAACAGCCCAAAGGAGGAATTGCAAAGAGTGAAGCAGATGCTCTTACTATTGCTTCAGATGTTGGATATCCAGTTGTTGTCCGTCCCTCCTATGTGTTGGGTGGTCGGGCAATGGAAATTGTTTATGGTGATGATAAACTCGTGACATACCTTGAGAGTGCTGTTGAGGTGGATCCAGAACGTCCTGTATTAATTGACAAGTATTTATCTGATGCTATAGAGATTGATGTTGACGCTCTTGCTGATTCACATGGCAATGTGGTCATTGGTGGGATAATGGAGCACATTGAACAGGCTGGGGTCCATTCTGGTGACTCTGCTTGCTCAATACCCACGAGAACTGTTCCATCTTCTTGTTTGGAGACAATTAGGTCGTGGACTGAAAAATTGGCCAAAAAACTGAATGTATGTGGGCTTATGAATTGTCAATATGCAATTACTACATCAGGAGACGTGTTTTTGCTCGAGGCCAATCCTCGAGCTTCCCGTACTGTCCCATTTGTATCAAAAGCAATTGGGCACCCCTTGGCTAAGTATGCTTCACTTGTTATGTCCGGAAAATCTCTTTATGACATCAAGTTTACAAAAGAGGTTGTTCCTAAACATGTCTCGGTTAAGGAAGCAGTTCTTCCTTTTGCAAAGTTCCCTGGCTGTGATGTTCTTTTGAGCCCTGAGATGCGGAGCACTGGTGAGGTCATGGGCATTGACCCCATGTACAATACTGCATTTGCTAAGGCTCAAATTGCTGCTGGCCAAAAGTTACCACTTTCTGGTACTGTGTTCCTGAGCTTGAGTGACTTGACAAAACCACACCTTGAGAAGATTGCTAAGGCTTTTGTCGAGATTGGATTTCAGATTGTTGCAACTTCTGGAACGGCTTGTGCTCTTCGATCAGCAAAAATTGCTGCTGTACCCGTGCTGAAACTGCATGAAGGGCGGCTACATGCTGGTGATATGATTGCTAATGGAGACATTCAATTGATGGTAATAACCAGTTCAGGTGACACTCTTGATCAGATAGATGGTCGGGCTCTCAGGAGGATGGCATTGGATTACAAGGTTCCAATTGTAACTACGGTTAATGGAGCTCTGGCAACCGCTGAAGCAATAAAGAGCTTGAAGTCCAATGCTATTAAAATGATTGCTCTCCAGGACTTCATTGAAGACGAGTTTAAAGAGTGAGACGATAGTTGCAGATAGTCTCTTTCTCAACCGGCATGATTAGGGCATTAACTATTAAGCATCTCTGCTTCTACATATTAACTATTAAGCGCCTCTGCTTCTACTTCATCTGGATATTCGGGACTTTTTTATTTTGCCTTTTTTCCACCGCCAAAACTTATCTGTTGTTGTTTCTTAAGATGAATTAAATTATGAAATGCCATTGCTAGAGATAGCTGTAGAATATTTTAAACATAACATCCATGATATTGTAATTCTGGCTGTATTTCCCACGTTGTCATATGTGCCTGCGGAGGGGGAAAAAAAAATCTATTACATGTTGCCATTGCGCAGCTGTATCCGGCATATAAGGTTTACATGTTTATCACCATTTCCATGCTCGTTTTTGTTCAGAATGAAAACTATGAAAAACTGTTGAATAGTTTTCTTTCATGCTCAGTCATTTTCGATTGCTTTGTTTCATTTAGCATGTACTCATATCTTGAACATCTTTATTTTGTGCATTGAGTTTTGATTATGCTTAAACTTGACATGTTGCAGATTACTATGAGGTTGAACGACTTGCTGGATTTGGTAGGGTGGCTGATGAATTTTAAGGGAATGTTTTCTATTGTGGAGTAACAGTGAGCAAACTAATATGAAAGGTTATGCATTCTGTGTCCTCACTCGTAAGAAAGCACTTGTTATTTTGAAGAATAGTTTAATAGTCTGTTGGATTTCTTCCACTCATATTATTTAGTTTTTAAAATGTTGAGATTAAAATTGGATGATGGTCGTTAGCTCCGAAATATTCATACATCCCCGGTGAAGCCATTTCGGTATCCATACTTACTCTCAAACAAAGACTTCATGCAGTACACATACATGCTGAGTTAGTAATATTTGCATAAACTATCCGCTCGTTTTTAAAATATTGAATGCTTTAAGGTAGCATACAACTCTGGTGCTTTTCTATTTTCGGAATTCAACCTTGTACAAGAAATAATTGCCAATGCACGGGAGAGACATGGCTTTCCTGAGCCTATTTGTGCTTATAAAATTTACTCTTCTCGTACAAATCCGAGTATTTTGGGTTGGGCGCAGTGATGTAATACGGTGATTTTTTTTTGGGGGGGGGGGGTTGGTGTTAGGGTTTTTGATTGAGGCCAATGTGTAATTCGTGTCGATGAGGGTGCTGCTCGGCACCAAGGAAAGAAGTTGAAATCAGTAAGAACATCAGTTTTCTTAGGTTGTTCTGACTGTGAAGCTGACCTGATCGAAATAGAGCGAGTTCCTCTAAAAATGTCTTCTTGGGCTACAGGATTCTTCATGTTAATGAGGCTGGAATTCTGCTTTTTCAGTGGAGAAAAGAACTATAAGGGGATTTTATTTAATATAAAGTTGATAAACAAGACGATTGTTAGTTTGCGACTTTCATGGTCGCTTCTTAATCCTTCCAACGGTTTGATTGTGCAATTATGGAACATCTGCAGTAACAGACCGGAAGAAAGGGAAGCACTTTCAGTACAATCATCAATAGGGTAGATATATTTAGAGAGTGTTTGGATAAGATCAAAATCATGGTTTCAAAAGTGTTTTTACGGTATGCGAAGTAAATATGTAGAGAAGTCTGTCTCGATTTGCAGAAAAGTATTTCTAAAAAATGATTCTGAGGTTACCTAAAATCTGTCTTTGAACAAATTAATTCTTGATCATAAATTTCTGAAAACTTGTTTATGGTATATATAGAAGCGGAGTGTCTGGCATTATCACGAATATAGTATAGGAGCAGAGGGCTTATCAGTATCACAACCTAGTCACCATCCCATGCGTTGCACGGAATTAATGAAATTGAACGGCATACAAAAATAGATTATTAATGCAGTAAAAATGGAATGAAAATATAATTGATTATGAAATTAATGATTAGATTGCGAGTTTACATTTGTCCATAGACAATAAGAAGAATGATGGCCTTCACATGAATGGTTGTGTTGACATGTTAAAATTGAAGTTGCCAAATAACAAGCATTTGATCAGCATATTCAAACGAGATGGCATGGAGCAGGGAGCCTACCCTTTTTTAACATTGTTATATTTTCCGTTAGGTCTCCCAACTAACTTTTAGCGGTCTGAGTGCGGTACTGACTCCAATTTCACAACCGCGTGGACTTAAATCTAATTAAACTTCTAGAGCATTAAGAATTTCTCTTCCTAAAATGACAACTAAAAGCCATTATTAGGGGATGCATGCATTTTGAATTACCTTGTATTTTATTTTTGACAGCTCTGTGCTTAATTGTCTTCCCCTAAACGGGGTCATGATCCTTGCGTCTACGTGGTGCACAACTCATTCTCACTCACGAACCGTGGCTTTTGGAAGTCTTGGTCAAGCAGATGGAGAATGTCTATGAATTTGGATCATGCTCTTCATTCATCAAACTCCAGCCAGCTCAGTACCCTCTGGGTCACGGTTTAGCGTGTGAATTTTGAACCCTATTGATCGGTATTAAGATCAAAGACCAACATTCATGAGCCGTGGAACTTGCATTTATTGAGCTTGCAAATTCTGCTAAAAGAGGATTGGGATGACCCAGAGGGTGCTGATATGGTAGAGCATTAATAAATGCACTTAAAAAGGACGCATTTGTTATGACACTTGCCATCATGTATCAGTATGACCATTCAACATGTTTGATTTCTACATTCCTTGCATGGCAGGACAAGTTCTGATTCATGATGAGAAGGGACCCATGAACTAATAATTTTTGACTGGCTTCAGATGCAACACTCATTTATGGCACTTGTGGATTTCTTTGGGTTATTTGGCTTTAATTGGTTGTGTAATGATCATATGCGACCACACCGAAATCCAATGGAAGTCTTGCCAGTAGAGTGAGGTGTTTCACTCCGCATTGGTATTTGTATTTTCACAAGTAACGTGTTCATATTTGCAAGTAAAGCCTATCCAGTTAGAATCAAATGAACACGACAACGCCATAAAGAAGGGATAGTGGAGCAGGACAGGGCAGGAAATTGAGCTGTCAAAGTCGCTTAGGGTCTACACTTTTCCACTACTTCACCACTAAACGAACATAGCTTTTAAGTGCGAAGGAAAAAAATAAAAAGGGGACTTCGTTATGGTGGGAGTAAGCCGTAAAGTGGAGATCGCATTGTTCCTCTTTTCATCCTGCTAAAGGTCCACACGCTTAAGACCCTGTGTGATGGCTAGAAAGCAATTGAAATTGATCCCCGTAATTAACAAATATTATCCCAAATAACAAAGGTCTAACTACTTCCACCTCAAAGTTGAAACCTCGAATATTTTTGTGGAAAACTCGATCAGAAGATAGAACCCCAAGACTAAAGTAATAATTTTTCAGAACCGTAATGTGTCGTAGATGCTATAGCAGAACAATATGGCTATATTTTTTTGCCAAGATTTGAAAGGTCGCAATCGTTTATGGCAGCCTAAGACTTCGGATCGCAGATTTTTTTTTTTTTAACTCAGTGTGTCCACCGGGCTGACCAGCTCCACACCAACCTTGTCCCCACTTCTCGAGGCCTATTTGTCCCATGGATTTAGTGTGTGTGTGTGTGTGTGTGTGTGTTTCTTTTTCTTCGTGGAGACACTGGAATGTGTTTGTGGAATACTAGTACATTTGAAGAGTGATTAGGTGGTGGTTAAAGGGTAGAAACATAGCATTGTCTCGGTGGTGGCAGCAACAGCAGCCCCAATAACTCTTACACCCCAAAACAAAACCGTTTTCCCAACGGATGCGAGCCACCTGGCACCAAGGAATCGGGTTGAGACAATCGGTAGTTTAGGGCGGACCATGTCCATAGATGGATGTTTAGACAGAGAACTCGAGGAAGTAAGAATATGGATAATATGGACATGCCTCATGGGATCCGTCTCATATCCATGGAAGTCGTCAATTGGAGTAAGTAGGTAAGATGCTTAGTCTTATGTATCTAATCGGTTAAGCAAGCTAAGGTTGGATTTTTCCGAGGAGGAGAATATGTTTATCTTCGCTTTGTCTTCCCAGGCTGCCACAACTTGTGTTGTCTGTTCTGATATGGATTAACTTGACGAGAGGAAAATAAGCGAATACAGACAAGAGGGGACTGTTAATAATTCCAATCCTTACAACGGCTAATCTCATACAAAACCCTTATTCTGCACGTAAATTAATTAGTTTCGGGAGGATATTTATTAAAGCGATGAATTAGCAGTTGCTGCGTCTTTAAGCTAACTAAATTAAACATAGATCATGACTTTTCGGGGCGAGTTGGGTCCGAGAAAGCTGGAGTCTGAGAACGACACGTTTTCCTGCCATTCGTTAATTTCCTAATTCCCCTACTTCTCATTAGAGTGCGACAAATTCAGTTTTGAAATTTCAGCCATCCCCAACCATTCCTATGGAAAAAAATATATGCAGTTTTTCTCCCCCTCCCTTAGAAACTTATCGCCCTCACAATCATTCTTCAAAGTAAAATGGAGACAGCAAACAGAACAACGCCGCGTTTGGCACATCAATTCTTAAATATCCGTAAAGGAGAATATAAAACTAAATGAGGAAAAAGAATATATAACTATGTAGTTTGTACAGGAGTTTTTGGTTTTAAACTGGTTGAAAAAGAGCAGAGTGTGGAGAGGGGGCTTGATAGTCAAAGAGAAAAGGAAGTGGGAAAACGCAACGCGCGCAGGCAAAGAGAGACCCTTCAAATACTTGAAACTGACATCACCTTTCCCCAGTGATGACGCTGTGGCTTTGCCCTTCCGCTTTTCTATAAAGACCTTTCCGTGCCTCTCAGCTCCCTCATACACAAACACAACAAACAGAGAGCAAGAGCCAAACACAACACAACACAACAATCTTATCTGATCACTGCGCAAATTAACGTTATGGAGGGCAGTGACGCAAACACTCCTCTCTCACAATCCCCCACTAATTCCTCCTCTTGGCCTCCCACCACCCCACACCCCCAAGTGATCGCCAGCCCTTGTGCTGCTTGCAAGATTCTGAGGCGTCGATGTGCCGACAAATGCGTCTTGGCTCCCTATTTCCCTCCCACCGACCCTGCCAAGTTCACCATCGCCCACCGCGTCTTCGGCGCCAGCAACATCATCAAGTTCTTGCAGGTTTCCTCCTTTCTCTCTCATTACCCCTTTTCTTCTTTCAAGTGACCCTGATCATTGGGTAAATGCTTATGGGTCTGGGTTGCTTCGATTTGCATTTCAGGAACTTCCCGAGAGTCAGAGAGCTGATGCGGTGAGCAGTATGGTGTACGAGGCAAGTGCGAGAATAAGAGACCCCATATATGGTTCCGCTGGTGCAATATGCCAGCTTCAGAAGCAAGTCAATGAGCTTCAGGCGCAACTTGCCAAGGCTCAAGCGGAGCTCGTCAACATGCAATTACAGCAAGCCAATCTGGTGGCTCTGATTTGCATGGAAATGTCGCCGGCCTCTTCCACTCCTCAGGAATCTCAATCGCCTCAGCATTCCGTGGACGATTTCATTTCCACTCCTCCCCACACCAGCGCTTATCAGAGCAATCTCAACTTCTTCGACGACAACGCCGGCTTTAACTCTCTTTGGGAGCCGCTGTGGACATGATTATAAACTTTTTATTAATTATTAATTTCTCATTCTTAATTAGCATAGTCTTATTATTATAATATAAAGTCATTTGATAAGTGTTTCCGATGACACTCTACTAAGGAGAAGTTGAAGGAAACAAGGTCAAGGCAGTTGGCTAGGGACCATATGAAGTTGGGTTATGAGGGGCGGCAAAATTTGGAGGAAAGTGCTGTAATATGGAATTCAATTCAATCTTGTACCTCTGATCTCTGCAATTGCAGCATTGGATAGGAAGGAAAAAGGCCTGTCGTGTTTCAGGGTCGCTCTCGTGCGCTGATTTTTTGAATCTTAAACACCTTTTTGGTCACCTAATATTAATCACTTTTGAAGGTTGGTGTTTCCTAAATGCTTAATTCCTTGTCAAAGTACGCTTTTGACCATCTCTTGGCTTTGGATTCTGCGGTTCCCTCTTAATCCCCTGTTCTTCATTTCTGAATTTCTCAAGCAACAGGGCAATACTTAAAAAAAGATTCTTCAAAATACTAGTAAATCTTAAACTTATTTCCTCGGCGGACACATTCTATCTAGTTTCAAGGAAATCCAAATATGAAAGCCTTTTGGACAGTATCAATTGAGAGCCAATTGTGGAAACACTGCCATTGGAGGAGAAAAAGAGATGGCATTTAATGATCCGCAAAAGCGAAAAGGATGCCTCCGTAATTGAATAAACTCATCTGAGGAGAGATAAGCAGCAGTGACAGAAGAATCTTCTGTTTGATTTTGTCCCCTGTTTCTTTCCTGAATGAATGCATGCGCATGATGTGTGATTGAAGTCATCTCATCGGAAAACTTGTTCATTAGATTATCTGAAAAAAATTAGATAAAAATGTGTCCTATCAAATTTGTCAATTTCAATTCATCACCATCGTCAAGGCGTTAACCAATGACTAATCGTTCCAATATTTTTACCCTCATTCTCCGTTCAGAATTGAGAAATGAGAATAACAATGTTCATATTTTATTCCTTGATTTTATGGAACTAAAGAGGAAGAATCAAACTAAAAGTAATGCTAATTATTAATGATAAGAAAAGGGCATAGGTTTTGAACGTAAGTAGTAATGGGAATACACTTGGATGTTGTCTGGTGAAGCAGCTTATGCAGGTAGCTGGCCAGAAGGAGATAGATAATGACAACCACTGATCTCAAATGAGAGGAGATAATTGATGAGGAAACAAGTATGGTTATGATGTTACTATTTTGCTAGATTAGAACATACATCGTCGTAACGCAATCAAAGCTGGTGTGGGTCAGGGGAAAATGGCAAGTGGATCCAGAGGAGCCTTTGACGGAGGCAATGGTTAGAGATACATCAAGCTTCGTTTGTGGCTAAATGGCCAAAATCTTTTTCACTAACACCCGGGCTTATTGGTATTCATAATTTAATTATCTGTATTTGGTATATAAAATTAGTGACAATAATATGTCAAGTGCTTTGCTAAATCCACGAACGTCACACTCGGTGTGGATTGAACTGATAAGCAGAGGAGTTAGTTCTCTTTCTGAACTGTGCATATTATATCCACCAGGTCCCTTCTCAGAAGTCAGAACGGGGATGAGGACATTGAGGAGTTTAAGATTAGATATATCGACAAAGCACGTGGCTGACTGGCTGTGTTTGTGGAAACCGGAAGTATGTAATCATCACTTAGAGTTTGTCCCCCTCAACCTCATCTCTCTATCTCTTTGGGGTTTTTTTTTTTTTTGCCCTTTTTCCCGGCTCATGTAGTCGTCTCAGACGCGTCATTTGGGGTACTATATTCCAACCACGTGCTCCCACGTAACCTGATCTCTAGCTTCCCTACCACACGCCCTCCCCTCCTCCCCTTGTCGGCGTCTCCCCCCGTCTCTGTCTTTCTGCACCCCCACTGTTCCACCGTTCTCATCCATCTTCCAGTTTGACTTTAATCCGAATAATCTCTCTTTTTTTCCGGGTCAATTAAACTTTTTTTCCTTCTTTCCACGTCATTTCAAGATGATGAACTGTAAAGCAAAGACAATATGTACCGTTTTAATACAAAAAAATTAGTTGATTAATTTGAATAAATTAAAAAAAATAATTAAGTTAATTATTTTTAATGAATAAATATTATTTTTTTAAAAATATTTTTACTAATCAAATATATCACATTAGAATTACTGTTATTACAAAACTGACTAGGCCAAAAATGAATAAATATAAGAGATAAATTATATCAGAGTTTTATATTTAGAATCAAAATAAAAGTCAAACAAATATATTAAGTATTGGAAGCAGTATTAGTTTCCTCCCCAAATTACTCAACCTTATAGAAAACCGGATGCTTGCGTTTTTTTTTTTGGCCAAAGGATGCTTGCGTTTGAAGATGCAGCATATAACTACAAATCCACTTATCTGCCTTTTACTTGCATCCATCGTCTGCAATTTTTTCCAATCGTAGTTTCATTCTCACCTCTTCTCTTATTGTTTAATACTCCCTCCGTTCTTTATTATAAGAGATATTTGATGCTTATGGTATGTTCCCATATATAAGAGACACTTAAAAGTTGTTTTTATTTTTTTGTATTGATTTCCTATTTTACCCCTATTTATTTTGTTTCCAACTCATACTCTCTCTCCCTCCCACTTCTCTTTCTTTCAATAATTTAATTGTTCTCTCTCATACTCTCTCCTTATTAATGGGGGTATTGTTGGAAAAAACATTATACTTTTTACACATTAATTGTCCTCAACTAATTTTAACTGTTTTTTTATTAACGTAATTTGGTTATTTGTCTCTTATTAACGGATGGAGTATAAATTTTTCTCCCAACTCATTGATTTTCATCACAGTTCATGTTTCTCTTTGATGTGACCAAACCCATTAAAGTCAACATGCTTGTTCAATAGTCAATATACTTGTTCAATATAAACGATCTGTTCGTTCCCATTTACATATAGAATGCAAATTTAAATGCAAATGTCAAGATCGTTCGCCCCCTTTTTCCACGTTATTGTCTTCTGTTATGCTAATTAACTGACTCAGGAGTCTTTTTTTTTTTTTGGTCAGAACTGACTCAGGAGTCTTTGATTTGATCACAAATTAACTCCCGTTCATTATAACGTCACTCTCTTGAACCCTAATTCTATACGAAAGTTACGCTATCAGTATCACTTGAATTTGCAATTGCCGTGAAAAAAATGTACGAGCCTGCCAGAATTTGTTCAGGATCGATACGTGAAGAATAGTCAAACAGTTATGGGGACAAAATAATGCCAACCTTGTAGCCGAAGAGGAACTGGTGGCTAGGAATAGGAAGGCCTCCATTTTGTCGAGACGCTGATATTCGTAATCGTCTTTACGTGGTTTTGTTACCGACACGAACCTGCTTGTTTCGTGGCACACACATACACATGAAGATTACAGTAACATGGGGAAAAAAAATGAACGAAAACAAAATAGCGTTCGTGATCAGAAGTCAGAACCGCCGGAAAGATGAGAACGAGATGCACGCATGGCAATAGCACGTGCTTTTGTTCTTTTGTTTTGGTTTTCTGGGGAAAATTAAACCTGATTAATTAACAGGCGTATGTGGATCACTTGTTGGGATAATGCTGAGGGTGCAACCTAGGATAAGATAAACTTTGAATTGCATTGGACGAGTTCAACGTCACTGATCTAAATCAAAACTCATTAAATTTGTGTCTTCCCTTGATTTAGAAACGACACTAGACAGTTTTAGAAACGATCATTTTAATGTCTCGTTGAGATCTATACCACGATCGTTGTCCACCAAACATGTGTATATATATATGTCCCGTGTTCCCCAAGGGGAAAAAAACAAAAGAAATGAAAAGATTCATTCCTTGTAGATATCTGTAAGTAGATATATTCTCGAGTACTTCAAAATAAATCCGTTGAAATGGTTAGTTTTATACTACTTCCGTTCCTAATTAAGACATCGTTTATAGTTTACAAATAATGTCTTATAATTAAAACCGGAGGTAGTATTGAAATCCCCTAAATTAAATTTCTGAATATTGAATTTATTTTTTGAGTAAAAATATTTAGTTAAGAATGGGAAAGAATAATACATGGCACAAATATATCAGTCAGGGAAGTGATGATGATCGAGTTTTGTCATTTGCGAATTGCGAAAGACTTGATGAAAAAATGAGGAAAGATCAGCATATTTTGGCAGCATATGTATTCAACAACTCCCTTGGGGAACGTGATTCTTGTCTCCTCAGAAATTCCAAAATTGACGGCCACCTTTGAACCAAAATTTCACGAAGGCTCTGGCCTCACACCTCCCTCCCACATTGCATGTAGTCATTACATGTGCTCCTCGCACCAACGATTCTATACCCTAAAACCACTCCCTCTTATTTTTTGTCATACTAATTAATTACTATATACTATTATGTCTATGATATATTCATTGGATACAGACAACTAGTGCAATAAAGTATAAACGAAACAAAATACTATACTAGTTAATATTATACGTAGGAGTACTGTCAACGATACAGGAAAATGTAACTCCTTATGATATCCACTAGATCCTTTTTGTACTATATATTGCCAAACCTGCTGCATCGTTGATGATTCGAGAGATAAGGAGTTTAGCTGAATATAATGCACATAATCGCCAGTATTACTATAATATATATTGAAGACGCCTACTGTTCACACAAAAGTTCACGCTGTCACTGTGTGTGGCTATTATATTACTCATATATTTGTAATTTTCGTCCCAGTATAGTGATTTTACAACAACTGTGATATGCTGGCTCTCCGGCAGTATCAGTATAAACAAATTCTCAAACTATGATTCGCTCAAGAGACGAGTTTCTGTTAGTTATGTCAAATGTTCAAGCTTTATATGTGAATATTAACCAATCGAAACGTCAGCTGAGTCAGAAAGCGAAGAGTATTTGCATGGATATGATGTCCAATATCTAAATACTTAATTTCTTGTACTGATGGAGGAATATATATGATATATATATCCATATATGTATAAATTTAAGTAAGAATTAATTAACGGGGCCCAGTTCTTTTTGGTTTTTTGGTGCCAACAATAGAGATCTAGTTTCGGTGCTCATCGCTTTGTTAAGTACTTTAAACTCATCAGATCTGGACTGCTCATATCTCATTTAGATGGTCTAAATTTGATTTTTTTTATTTGTTTAAAATAATTATTTTAATATGTATAGAATCTCAAATAAAGATAATCTTTTAATTATAATTTTTTAAAAAAATATTTTTTATTTAAAAATAATTAATTAAAGATTTTAAATCTGAACTATTTAAATCGAATATAGACGATTCAGATTTGATGAATTTAGGATGCTTATTAAAATGATAAACACTAAAACTGATACCGTACCGTAATAAGCAGTCGTTGACGAGTTATAACTTAAAATAAACCCGTGGTATATATCAGAAGCTCTTGCACTGTATATACAGAATAGCCATGACTAGCTTCAGCTTTATGGCGCCTACAATTCAACAATTGTGATCTCTCCTTTTCTTTTCAAAAATTTAGAAAACAAAATCGTATAATAAGACGTAAAGAAATTAAAATGCACAGATTTTATTGATGAAATATCCGTATCAGACACCTCACGTTGGACCAGCCCTGTGGAATCATCTGCAAGATGAGTTAATGGTATGCTTCTGTCTTTTCATGATCTGAAGCCATAAGCTTTGGCAGTGATTTGAATCTGCGTAGTTACTTTTCGTTATTACAAATTTACAACCCGATCCTGCGCGGCCTCTTTGGTGAAACCCGACCATCGTCCCCTGGACTTTTCTATCTTGTCACCATCACAAGCAGATATTCCACCACTAAGTGGTGTTTATATTTCACATTGGAAATAGAAATTTTTTTATTTTTAAGTTCAAACAATTGAGAAAAGAAAGAGATATTAGAAAATTAAGTTGTATGTGTGAACATTAGGAAGCTCGATGACCCCCATCAAATCTGGGCACACAGTAGATGCAATCAATCTTTGGTTTCCCTTCTCTAGTGGCTGCAACTGAAGGACCCTGTCTTCTCCAAAAGCACTATATATTTTCGTTTCAACGGGAGTAAACTTTATAGAGTAGATTGACTCATAATACTTCTTGTCCTTATATAAGAGCTAGTTAACTAATTTGAGCATATTAAGAAAATTAATTAAGTTAGTTATTTGTAATAAGTAGGTGTTATCTTTTCTAAAATATTCGTGTCTTTACTAGAACTACCATTATTACAAAAACTATCTTAAAAAATATATATAATTATAAGAGATAAAATAGATTGTGTTCTTATATTTACAACCAAAATAAAAATCAAATGAGTTCTCCAAAGTAATATACTCCTCCGGTCCTAATTATAAGACCCAATTGACTTATTTGAGGAGATTAAGGAAGTAAGTTAAGTTGGTTATTTATAATAAATAAGTGTTGTCATTCCTAAAATATCCTTGCTAATTAAGTATATTGGCTAAAACTATCATTATTAGAAGGATTATCTTGGAAAAAAATACAAAATATAAGAGAGAAAATGGATTGGGTCTTATAATTAGGACCAAATAAAAAGTCAAATTGGGTCTTATAATAAGGACCGGAGGAGTATATAATATAAATAGTAACTTACTGGTGGAATATCGATTAGCGGTGTTCAATATAATCTTGACATGCCTGTCTGAACGGAGGCTTCCACTTTTCCAAGAACGTTTTTATTTGACTGGCATCATAAAATAGGTGCTGCCCTAATTAATATTGGAGTGTTAGTTTATCGTGGATTAATCTTGACTCTGTATACCACGCTTGTTCTCTTCTGGTTTGAATATTATTTTCTATTTGATTACATGCAGCTCAATCATTTCATCATGTTAATTAAATGCGGCAAATAAATGAAAGTAAATAAAGTAAAGCAGTCCAAAACAGCGTCCACTTTGTATCAATCACATAGCCCATCACCGGTGAAAGAAGCTAAAAAAGGGGATATAAAAATAGGGAAATCAAATGGAAATTTGACTACGTTATGACCAGTAAAAGACGTAGAGGATCAAGTATTTGCATAGAAAGCAGGGAATCAAGAACTTGCAGAGTCAAAGAAAGCCAGTCTTCATCGGCCCAAGAGAGGGGGAAAAAACAATACAAGGTAGTACGAGGGTAGTGTTCGTCAACGCGCGTGAGAATTGGAAGGATTTCTTAGAAATTCAGAGGAAAACGTGCAGAACGTTTCGCTTGCTTTATTTTTTGAACTAGACGGATAGATATTAATAGTCCGGAGTTCGAGATCGAATCCGATTTCGCATTCTCTTTCCATATTGCTGTCTTTTTTTTCCTTCCATAGATTCAAGTCCATTCGAGTTTCGAAACACAATTAGATATTAAATATGAGTATTTTTTCTAACGGATATTTAAATATTGATTTATCAGATCACAAGAGATTTATACTCGTTTGGCTATACTCAACTTTAGTTGGTATTCCATATTACTGTTAGTATGAATCCTTCCCGCCTACACATGCATCGCATCACGGTGTTTCAGCTCAAACTGTGACTGTTGTGAAGAATGATGCCTAAAACACAAACTACTCTTTTGTTTTTAATGTAAGAGTTAGTTTGATTTTTAATCCGATCTTAAATATAAGACCCTAATCAACTTTGTCTCTTATATTTATTTATTTTTTTCCAAATTAGTCTTTATAGTAGTTTTACATATTAAAGATTTTATTAAATGATAGTTCTAGCTAATGCACGTAATTAATAAGGATATTTTAGAAAAGACAACGCATATTTATTAGAAATAACTAACTTAACAAATTTTTTTAATATACTTAAATTAATCAATTAACTTTTTAATTCGTTATCTCCACTTCGTCTTTGACATGCTGTTGCACTGCAAGGTCCGGGGTAGGGCCTCATGCATTAAGATCGTCCGAAACGTTCCATGACGTTCTATTGGTCACATCCTGAACCTGAAATGAACAGTTTATGAATTCTTCTTCTCAAACATACATTATTTTAGGTAACAAAGAGAATTTACATGTGAGTTTGTATTTTTGAACGGAATGTCGTTAGTTTCATAGCCCATGAGTAAAGTTAGTTTCTATAACTTATATATTCCATCTTTAATACATGAGATTCACAATTAATTTTTATACTTCTCTGGTCCTTAACATAAGACTCAATTGTTGAGTTGATTTTGATTCTAAACATAAGACTCATTTCTTACATTTATCAATTTTTTCTAAATTATCCCTATAAATACTCCTTCAACTATAATTAAGTAGAAGAAAAAGAGGGGGTATTAAGAAAGATGATTATGGTATTTTAGGAAAAACGTGTCACATTTCTTATAATTAACTAACTTACCTAACTTTATTAATCTAATCAAATTAGTTAAATAGATCTTATGTTAAGAATTGGAAGAGTATTACATATAAATATAAGGTTAATATAATTTTTGGTCCCTCAAATTTGTTCTTATTTTGATTTTGGTCCCTCAAGTTTCAAATAATAGATTTTGATCCTTTAAAGGGAAAAATTATCCAAGTTTTTATTGGATTATAGAGACCATTATTTTAAATAAAAAGAAATTATTTATTGGATTATAAAGACTATTATTTTAAATAAAAAGAAATTTATAGGACAAAAACTTATGGTTTAAAATTTAAAAAACTAAAATCAAAATAAGAACAAACTTAAAAAATCAAAATTTGTATTAATTAGTAAATATATTGAATGAGTATGATACCTTGTTAGCCGGAGATAGTAAGTTAAGTGTCAGAAGTTAGCTGAATGCCCGCCCCCTCTAGTAAAAAAACCGGGTTTGACTTACTTAACACTGCGTAAAAATCAGACATAGGGTTAAAGAGAGGTTAACTCATTAAACTTGTCAAAAACTTGTAATATTTCTTCTAAAACCATGTCACGAAGAAAAGAGGGGATGCTGTTGCGGAAGGGTCAGCTGGAAGAGAGGGAAAAAAGAGAGGTAAGGTGATTGGATCGAATACAAATGCAAAACCCTGACTATTTATGAAGCCCTATAAATAATAAAATTATAAATCAAATTCAAATTTAAAATCAAATCCTAATCTAATCTTTAAGAGTATGTTTGGCTCAATGAGAGAAAGGAGAGGGGAGGGGAGTGGAAGGATTTTAATATTATCTTGTTTGGATTTATAAAAAAAGAAGGGAGGGGAGGGAAACATATTTTAATATGGACAATTTTGCTCTTATTTTATTTAAGGCGTGGGCATAATGGTCACAATATGACAAAATATAGACATAATGGTCGCAACATGACAAAATATAGGCATAATGGTCATAATATGACAAGATATTACCATTTCCCTCCAAATCCTCCCAATTTTGGAGGGAGGGGAGGGGAAATTTTAAAAAATTTTCCCTCCCCTCCTAAAATTTGTGTGTTGCCAAAGAAGGAGAAATGATTAAAATCCCCCCTCCCTCCCTCCGCCCCTCCCAAATCCCTCATACCAAACACACCCTAAGGGTGTGTTTGGTATGAGGGATTTGGGAGGGAGGGGAGGGAAGGGGAGGGATTTTAATCATTTCTCCTTGTTTGGCAACACAAATTTTAGGAGGGGAGGGAAAATTTTTTAAAATTTCTCCTCCCCTCCCCTCCTCAACCTCCCCTCCAAAATTGGGAGGATTTGGAGGGAAAAGGTAATATTTTGTCATATTATGACTATTATGCCTATATTTTGTCATGTTATAACCATTATGTCTATATTTTGTCATGTTGTGACAATTATGCCCATGCCTTAAATAAAATAAGAGCAAAATTGTTCATATTAAAATATTTTTCCCTCCCCTCCCCCTCTTTTTTTATAAATCCAAACAAGATAATATTAAAATCCTTCCACTCCCCTCCCCTCCCCTTCCCTCCATTAAAATCCCTCCCCTCCCCTTCCTCTCATTGAACCAAACATACCCTAAAAGATAATGATAAGATTATTTAACTAGTTTAAATATTCCGTTATATTAAAAATAAATAAATCTAAAATAATCTAGAAAAAGATAAACCCATAAAATCCTAATCATAATGAATAAATATCTTTATTTAAATAATCATAATGAATTATTCTAAATATCTAAAATAACCCCAATTAACCATTAATCTCATTTCCCACCAAGCGAATTTGGGTGGCTTGAAGGGAAATAAAAGTGGGCTATAGGCCTAGAGGCCTACAGGCTACAGCCGTCCCGCCATCTTTGGGGAAAAAATTATAAAAATTTTTAAAACGAAGACTTTTTTTTTTAAAAAAAGCATAGACATTTGAGAAACAAACCTACAATAAAAATCCTAAATAAATTATTTGGATTTTGTAAAAGAGTGATTGACAATTTGACAATATTGGCCTTGAAGCCATGTCTCTTTTAAATTTAAAAACTGGGAGAATCAGAGAGAAGGACTAATAAAGAGTAATATTTATAAAAGAGGATCATAAAAATTAAAATTATTTAAAAAGACCAAATATTCTAATATAAATCTAAAAATAACATATTGTCCCTACTCAAACCTCCTATTTCTCCTATATTCCGTCCTAGAAAGGGAGAAAATTCACGAGTCTGGATAAGACTCACCCTGCCCTCTTTTTTACAATTTGGGAGTAATTAATTGGACATTAAAACATACAGCCACATTGGGTTATAATTACATTCTCTGCAACTTTCGCAGACAAACAAGGAAATAATTACACCCGTCTACAAGAACGATGGCCCTTCTTGTACAACCACAGAGAATTGACTTGAAGGAAGATGCAATTATTCGCATGGGCCTTGGCTTTCTTTGATATTTGAGTCATCGCAAGGATTAGGGAGAACCACCGGCTGCGCAGTATTAGTGTATGCAGGACAGATAGAAACATATTGACAGAATTTACATTTCCAGCGCTCATCCTCTGGGACATACCTAGCTTCTTCCTCTCCAACCCAAAATTTAAGACATGTTTGAATCTGATCCTTTAGCCACTTAGGATCATATGCAAATTTATCTTCACCAAGCAGTGAATGATCCTTCTGTGACTCGTATCTGTCACAAAGCAAACAAAGTAACGTCATTTTTCTTCCTCTAATGTATCCTCTTCATCCTCTTAATTATTGATGAAGAATTTTCCGATAGGAGCCATTCCAGGAAAAAGGACAGGGCTCCAATAGGAAGCCAAAAGGCAAAATTACGGATGTTTCACAAAGACGAAACTTGTATCAATAAAGATATGCTGTTAAAACTTGCATATCTATAACGAGAGATTTTGTTACTCACCTCAATAGAAGCTGATCGTGAGCCGCACCCAGCACTGCACGCGGAATTTTGTAATGCGTCACCACATCATCAAGGGTCTACTTATTGCCAATTTGAAAAATAACAATGAAAGATTATCTTCACCATAATACATTTGACCATTTCAGAATTGTAATGGCTGATCAGTAACTAAATGATGCATTTTCGAATCAAAACACCAACTGTGCAATAGAAAGGCAAAATTATATCAAGCTCCGTTATACTTGATACAGCGGGTAATTCACAAATTTTTTTCAATCATTATGAGTATGAGATGTATTCTTTGACACGCTGGGGGAAATTACATATTCCTCAATACAAAGACTGATGCAATGTTTGTATAGAAAGGAAATGGGAAATGCACCTGTCCCATTTCCTCTCTAGGTGCATTTCTCATTTTCTTTCTAGAAAACACTTCCTTGCACACCGTAACATTGCCTCAGGGAATATTACGAGCTCGGGAGCCCAAGTTCCACTTACCAATGCAGAGAATCCAGAATCCCCACTCTCCCCTTGCAGATCTTCGCAAAGAGTATGGTGAGGGTTTAAACCGAAAGAATCAAAAAAATGTTTAGAGGGGAACTTGCGAGCAACCAAATTGTCCCACATATACTTGTAACACATTAACTGCAGCCTACCAAGAAAAAAAGAGCAAAATATAACTAAATGAATCATTGGCTTGCAATTTCGCGTCCCAATGAAATGACATTAATGCTAGAATAATATACACACCTTCCATTTCTTCGTTGTGGTTCAGAAGGAAGTGTATCTCGAGAACGGGTTTTTGTGTCAATTAGTATGGGATTTCGATTATGTAATGTCTGCGGCAAACGAATCTCATCAATTACACCCACCATCCATACACCCTCTGCAAAGCCTATTCTGACATCAGAGGAACGCTTCATCATGACCACTAGTGGGAGAAAGTCCGCCAAGGGAAGTCTAAACTATAAAGCATATATGCCATAATGGACCAGAATTCACCAAAACAGAATATGTCAACAGAAACATTAAAAGCAAGATTTACGATCTCGTTGTAGCATTTGTCAAATTCAGTGGGTGGATTTTTCCCTTCAAATGCATCCTTTACCGCATATTTTAATGTTCTATGGTTTCAATAAGGAAAAAAAGACACAGCTAGTGATGGAACGTTTCATTCAAAAAAGACAAAACAAATCAAATTTTCCCTGGAAGAGGCAAAACAATTTCTATAGTAACTAAAGCCAAAACAATGAAAATGTTATCTTTGGACTTAAAATCCACCTTCTACAAAATCAAGAACAATAACCTTTAAACAATCACACATTTATGAAATATATGGGAAGCTGCACCTCACAAGCCATTAACAATTCAACTCCCTCAATAAAATTTATGAATAACTCAGATGCATCATCCCCTTTCATAACGTGGCAATCGCTTACATGCGGCATCAAATCCTGATCAAACAAAATACATGAAAATAGACTGATAAATGTCAACTTACATGGGCAGTTCACGAGTGACTCCTTCTAACTGTAATTGGTTAACACCATTTATAAAATTAATGAACTTCAAGGCCCAAAAATCTTCATGTGATTTGATCTTCACTGCCACCCGTTTTATAATCTGCAAATCAACATTCAAAGATATGATCATGTGAGACGCCCGCAATAAGAATTCAAGTAGTCAGGACTTGAGATAACAATAAAGTACCTCTTCTTCAAGTTTAACGTGTCGAGCAATCCCAGCTTTCATAGCTTTGGTTATCTTTTGTGCTCCATAACGGAGAGTAAATTCCATTTGTTTTTGGCACCATTCCTAACATTACATTTAACTAACGAGGTTAAGATGATTGTGGCCCTGATTCCACGAAATGGACAAATCAGTGATGGCAACAAAAAATATTATCTTATGTATTTTAATTTTTATACTTTTCAAGAAAGGAAAAACAAAAACTTGACACTGGACGAGGCTTCATGTAACATTGGCAGGAAAGTTAAAAACCCAAAATAAGTTCCATCCACAGCCCAACACAGAAAAGGTCAAAATTTGATACCGTAGATGTAATATCGGTGATAGACAAGCCCCTATTTTTCCTGAAGCGGTGCAGATACGATTCGGCCTCTCTTCTCCTTTTCTGGGTGTTCAGCATGTTGCCGGAATCCTCAATGTCAGATTGAGAACAATTGGAGAAACCCTTGTTAGATAGAACGGCAATTGATCGAACGGGGGATTTCGCATTTATGTGAAGCTGGGAGGGGAAAGTGGGTGATGGTATTGCAGGGGCAACAGAAAAAGTGAAAGAACGAGCATATGCTAGAGCAGCTTCAATAATAGCCATCTCTTCATCACTGACGATCTCAATTGGGATCTCAGGAACATTATTGTTTTTTTTAACCGGCACGCTAGAGGATGTTTCGCCCATGTGGCTGATTCAGCAAGTTTGTGGTATACTGCCCGTAGGAATCGGCACCGTCGATGGGCAAGCAATACCCCGATATGGGGTAAATTGCATAGCAAATATTTGAAGGTCGGGGTCGCAGGCAGCAAGGAAAATCTGAGCCCAGTGGGTTCAGCTTGTTGGTGTTAAATTTGCCATTGGATCCGCCATCATCGATGGACATGCCAATTTTAAGTTCCGGGTGGGTTGGATTTTCGGGTAAGGTGGCTTGCTGTTGCGGGCTTGTTTAGAGCTCCAATCAAAAAATAGTTCTAAACAAGTTTACATGAATCGAGACGAAACCCTCCTTATATATTTATTTCATATTCCGTACATTATGTTTGAAAAATTATTTATAAATCAATTTAAACAGGCCGTATATAGTCGTGATACACGTGGTTGGTCACTGAGCGTCACAAGCTTCAATTTAGGACATGTTACATGCTCAAACATGAGGTTTTATATATTTTTTCTCCTTTACAGAATGTGAAAGAAAATATTTTAAATTTTTGTTAGACACTGCACAGTTCAGATTATTTTTCTCAGGGTCAGGAAAACACTACTTTTATAAAGGAAGAGAATGAACATATTGTGGTTTTGTCCCTAAGTATCACTGGCTTCGATTTAGAGAGACTTCAGATGCATGAAGTCTCAAGGGGATAATCATGAAAGAGAAAGACAGTGCCAAGATTACTTCCATGGGCATGCATGGGAAACCAACTTGGCGCAACTCCACTGCCCTCATGGCAAGCAAGTGAAAGCTTCACTCTCAAGCTAAATTAAAGTTGCATGAAGCTTCTTAATTCTTACACGCCGTTTGCTGACTAACCTCCAGGCCACTTCTGAGTCAGTCTCCAACCAAACCCGTTTGAATCCTTTGTTTCCAATTGACGTGTCGCTTCAAATACATGTGATAATTTTCCCTCCAGTTTATCATCCGAGCCCCAAGTTTATTTTGACACCATTAACTGACGTGGACGGATTTTTAGGAGTAAACTTTCAGACTGTTAACTTTAAACTTAAAAATAATTCTGTATACTTTTTCATTCTGTTAACTGTTAAGAGTAACATGATATCAATAGATATAACTGGCAGAAACACGCACGTTCAAAATGCTAACAAAATAAAGTAAGATTCAAAATCTTGCTTTTGTGATGGAATAAAATACAAGGGCTATGCAGGGAACATCCAAAAAGATTTATGCATTGTCCGTTGCATATCATGTTGGTAAAATTATAAGCATTGGTATTAATATAAAATATAAATTTTATAACAAATACTACTCTTCCGGTCCTAAATCTAATACTACAAAGTGGATCTTAGATTTAGGACCGGAAAAGTATTATTTATAAATTAGACATCATTATTTATAAACCAGACACCAGAAGTTGGTAGAAAAATAAATCAGACACTAGAGAAGGAAATGTCATTTGTGTTAACTTCTTTATAAATATGCCGAACGTACATATCATAATATATTGATGTAGCATAAAATCCAAACTGATAGCCCGTTTGGACTAGGCAGCTTAAAGAGGTTACTTTTACCTTGATAAAAAAAAAAAAAAAAAGTTACTTTTACGTTGCAAGTTAAAGATACAAAAAAGTCATGAAAGTAATTATTTAAAAAGGTTTTAAACATCTATCTTTGAAAAAAGAAAAAGAAAAATCATGACTACCACCCAAAGTTATGAGATAAAATTATCTTAGCCAAGATTTCTGAAGTTCTATCTTTTAAAGTAGTGATTGACTGAGTGCATGAAAAAAAGATTGACTGATGGTCGTCATCGGAGGCAACTACTAGCCTTGAAGCAGCTCATATTTGTTATCTTTCAGATTTCAAGTGCCTGAGAAGTATATTCTAAACGCTTTTAGATGCCATACCTTGTTTTCCTGCAGCTCAATCATGATCACTAGGAAGGGTTCTTTTTAATTTGGCTGAAACAATCATATATGGAAGATTCGATCTCATTTCGCCAGTTGCTTTTGCAGTATTGGCA